TTTTCAAATATTATCAAAAAAAATTTTATTTAAATATATTAAAATTTAAAAAAAGTAGATCATAACAATATTTATAAAAATTTTCCAGGCAAATTTGCCTGGAAGAGCCTACAGTTTAAGGGATAGTGATAAAAAACAATGGACAAGTTACAACAAACCAACCAAAAGCTTTATGAGGTGGTGATGCAATTAGCAGAATCAAATAGGAATTTCGAACAATGTCTATATACCTTAAAAAGAATTATTGACATACGAGAGGAAAGAATACGATTTCTTGAAGAAGAGTTAAATAACACTATCAAGCTTTCTAGACAAGACAAAGAAGAATTAGAAGAAATTTCAAAATTAAAAAGAATCGTTCACCAACTTGAGGAAGAAAATAAGAAGAAAGACAAAGAAATTTCTAATAAAGATAAATTGATATTAGAATTCGATGAGTGTGAGACAAAATTAAAAACCCGAATATAGGAGATATCAAAATCTGCAGGTAATACTCCTAAAGCACAAGATTATACAACCAGATTAGTAGATGAGAATGAACAGCTTAAACGAGAAATAAATACGGTAAGAACTAATCAAATAAACAGGATTAACAAAATAACTCAACAAAAAAGTCGTATTACAGACCTGCTTTGCCAAAATTTCGCATTATCCTTATTAAGATATAGAGACAGATTGGAGCTTATAAATACCAGAGAGGCTTTGCAAAATGCAGAAGCACAGAACCTTAATGAAAATGAATCTGACCTTGATGAAAACTCTTTAGATATTTATAATTTTGATCAAAATTTAGATATAGGTACAATAGCTGAATTGGCCGATGCTATAGACCAATTTCTAGATAATACAACAATATGTAGAACCATTTTAACAAATCAAATTAAAAGATCAACAAGGTCAATCCGACGTAAATATGCTAATCTGCAACAAGATCTGGTAAATGTAAGATGGGATCGTGATACATACAGGCAGGAGCGGGATCAGGCATTGCTTAATCTTCAGCAGTTGCGAACTAATGCACAAAACCAAGTAAATAGAATAATAAATAATATAGCAAGAAAACAAACCCGTATTGGTGAATTACTACGAGAAAAATTTGCTTTACAAATCTTATATCGACGAAATCTCTACCACCTACAGCGATGCAGAGCTGATAGAGGTTTGTTAGAGTATAATCGGGATAGGCTCTATGAGCGATATGAGAAGTAGAAAAATAAGACTCATGCAGAGTGCCAGAATATTTTAAATTTTAATCAACAAATTTTTGCACTACAGAATAACCCACCTAATATACAATGAATAGGAATGGTAGGATATGGACCCCCAATATTTTATGATCGTCCTGGAGAAGATCCAGAAGATTGGCTCAGAGAGATGCAAAAATACATAGTAGCTAGTTGAATAAATGTTGCACCTGATGCAGTTCAGGTCGCCGGAAGAGAAGAGGCATTTGGATTGGTAATATTATGTCTTGCGGGCCCTGCATTGAATTGGTATAATACTCGCATTAAGGGTAAAAATTGGAGATGTAATAATCTCTCAGATAACTTAGGTGTAGCTACTTTAACTACTATTCAAGCAATAGGAGCTAGAAATGGCGGTAACCAAATTGGTGGTTTGAATACTGCTGGAGAATTTTGTAACAAAGCTAGAGCAGAAATTGGTAGAATTGGAGCGGGTGTCGCAACTGGTGCTGACATTATTCCGAATAGAACATGGGATGAAGACTGGTCTATAGCCGGTGATGAACTTACAGATAATGCATCAGTAGCACCAAATGCTGGCGGGGTTTTTCCACCATTACAATTGCTCCCGGTATTAAGCTTGGACAACTCCTTTATCTATTTAGTACTGCTTATATGATGGTTGAACACTTAAAGCAAATGGCAGTTTTTGGTAAACTTATGCAAAGAGATATGGGTGTTGAAGAGTTCTCCACTCGAATCAAAAAGGTTGGTAAATTGGCCGGAATGACACCCGAACAACAAAGAGAGCAATTTATTCGTAGCTTAAATCCTATAAACCAATATAATATTCGAATGATGGCTAAATTTGAGGATACTCAGGAAAATATCACAAGAGCCTTAGCTGAAGTGGAAAAATTTACACTTTCTCAAAAAAATGCACTATCTTCTCTTCTTGTTTTTCTGGCAGCCAACCCCTACATAGACACTAACAAATCGGGAATGACTAGAACTGAAATCCTGGATTTGATAAAAACCGCAATGGTACCCTCAGAGTCTCAAACAGCTCAACAAAATGCTGATTTGCAGTCTACCATTAAATCCTTGCAAGAGACTATGTCTCGAGTGACTAAAACTCTAGATAATAATAAAAAATCATCTAAGAAGAGAGCGGAAGATACTGCCATTAATCGCTTTTTGAGTGACTTACTAAGAAAAAATCTAG